TGAAGATTGTGACATGAATCCCTTCAACATATGGGCGAAAATGTTCAAAAGTCCAAATAATAGCAAGACACTCCTTCTCTGAAGTACAATAGGGAAGTTCAGCTTTGTGAAGGGAGCGGCTAGCGTATGCCACAACATACTCTCGATTCTCGTCATCCTTTTGCATCAAAGCTGCTCCGAGTCCAACGTCGCATGCATCAGTGTGAATGAAAAAGGGGCGGGTAAAGTCAGTAAATGACAACACAAGGGCTGATGTAACATGTTCTTTTAAAATGTCTATAGCTTTTTGACAGTTGCTGTCCCAGTGGAAAGCTGATTCTTTTCTTGTGAGTGTGAATTATGCCCACTCTGGATGGCAGGCATAATTCTGAATGAAGCCACGATAGTAACCTGTCAGGCCAAGGAATTGTCTGACCTGTTTCACATTAGTTGGCATGCTGAAATCCATTACTGCTTTAACCTTGAGCAGATACAGTTTAACACCCGAAGGTGTTATGCGATAGCCAAGAAAAGTGAACTCATTTAGGCAGAACGGACTTTTTTAGTTTCAGGGATAAGCCAGCAGCTTGTAGTCTGTTGAGCACTTCCTCGAGGTCTGCCAAGTGTTGTTCAAAGGTTGGGGAGGCGATGACAATATCGTCCAGGTAGACTGCACAAGTTTTGTACAGGAGATCAGCAAGGACAGAGTTCAAAAGTCTTTGAAAGGTTGCGGAAGCATTGCATAGTCCAAAAAGTAGCACTCGAAACTGAAAGAGGCCACAGTGTGAAACAAAGGCTGTTTTAGGCCTTGATTCCTCCGCGACTGCAACCTGCCAATAGCCTCGAGGCAAATCCAGAGTAGAGACAAACTTCCCTCTTGCCAAAAAGTCTAGCGACTCATCTACACATGGCAAGGGATAGGAGTCCTTTAGAGTAACTTGTTTGAGACCTCTAAAGTCCACACAAAACCTTGGGTCAGAACCTGATCTCTTAAAAATGATTACAGAAGCTGCCCATGGACTTGTAGAAGGTTCTATGATGCTGCACATGTTCTTCAATGGCTTGTTTTTTGTTGATAAAATGTGATAAGGCGGAAGGTTTATGGGCCTTGCATCGCCAGTGTCTACAACATGTTCGGTGAGTGACGTCTGTCCAAGGTGGCCATCAAACAAAGGTCCAAACTTAGAGAGGATGTTGAGCAATGTGTTTTTATTGTTCTCTTTAAGGTTTGCTTCTGAGATTTTGTTGCAATGTCTGAGTGCAGCATGTCAAGGGACATAATGGTTTTCTTCGTAGTTGAGTAGTCGAGCAGGCTATCCACATCTTCATCCTCTAAAAGACAGAGAATCTCATCTCTAAAGATGGTTCTGGTAGGAATGTGGATTGAAACAGAAGCTCTAGATACAAAGTCCATTCTGAGAATGAATGGAGTAGAGAGCTTTTGAATCACAGCAAAGCTTTGGTAAAAGTTTTTGTTCATGAAGCCAAATGACACCATCAGGAACACAGGGAGCATTATTAGCAAGGTTAACTGATGGGCCACTCCACACACTTGTTTTATTGGGCCATTGACTTTGAAAAGGGCTACTCAAATGACTGAAAGGGATCCACCTGTGTCGAGAGTAGCTTCAACCGATGTAGCATTAAAGTTCACTTTAGTTCTCAATGGAGTATTCCAGTGTACTTGTGAAACATTGGGCCTCATGCAAGAACATGTTCATATTCTTATCCTAAATTTCTCTTACTTTTGTTCGTACAAAGGGTTCGTACGAACATGTCACGTCAGATTCAACAAACTCTTCTATCTTCATGAAAAGTGCGTAAATGAGCTGCGTAAATTACACCTGCTCTATCCAGCTGCTCGTGCACGCGAGAGGAGATTAGCATAATTACCACCCCAAAAACACCATATAAGGCTGTGTTTCCTGCCTCAGACACAAGGAAGTGTCCATTCATGAAAAATGACAGTAATAATTAAAAAGAAAAACTTTACGAGTTCAGAGAAAACTTTAC